ATTTGTTGATCAAAAATCTGCTTTAATTAACATTAATTACATTTAATGTTAATAAAGATATTGTGAATGGGGGACTAAAAGTGTGGATCATAAGCCTTCATCAGTGTGGTTCTGTAACAACGACGTGTAAAGAAAAAGTGGACGCTTCACATGCACACCCAGCGCTACTCTTCCCCGCTGGTTCCCCTGATGTCGTCTTGCCCTCTGGTACTACCTCCAAAGCCCCTCCATTACGCCTCAGTGACATTTATAGATAAACTTGAGATGTCACAGAAGAGTCAATATCGGGACAGTCTGAAAAGGACTTTAGTTCCTTTCCCTGAGATAAGGCAAATAATTGTGTGTGTGTGTGTGTGTGTGTGTGTGTGCGCTTGCGTGCGTGCTCGATGCGTGCGTGCTTAGTTTCTGTGAGCATCACATGTGCACCGAGACACAAAGACATCATAGACCCTGTCTGACCTACATCTGCCGTCCTGCAACACATGAGACGTGAAGGAGTTTACTCGAGCATAAAACACACACACACACACACACACACTTCATCACTTACACACACACACACTGCATGATTATCACGTCCAGCTCTGTTGCTCCTTCTTTGTGGATTTTAACCTGCAAGTGGGACTGAAGGCTGGATGTTCTAGCGGTGCTGATGTTAGCCACACTCGGCAAACCCAATCACATTGTTTTGTCCTCTAATTCGACTGTTCTGAGTGTTTTCTAACCTTTTAAGCTCGTCGGTTAGTCTGAATCATAATTTTCCTTTAACTGGGGAAGAAATGAGTCACCTAGAAACATCCCTAGTTAAGGACAAAGACTGGAGGGAGAATACATCTGCTTACCTGGCTCTTTTAAAGAGTGGGAACACAATAATAAATCTGCTTTATTTTCATTGTGACTCCTGTTTAGGTAGAATGTGTGCAGATCGAAACATGACACCAACATGTTGTCTGATGTTGAAACAGATGCTGCTTGCTTTTCAAAGGGTTGGAGCTCCACACTGACTCAGTAAGCTCTGTATGTTTCTGAAGATGATGCTGCTGGTTTAACGTAATGGATGGTGTCTTGGATTACTATGTTGTGAATGGCGGCAATTTGACGCAATGTTGAGGAGTGGAGATGTGTGTGGGTGTGTGTTTGTAATGCAGCAGTCATGACATGTCAGGAATTTTGCTGATAAGCTGAACCAAGTTTAAATTTGCTACTGTAGGAAAGCCTGAGCTCACTGATGTCTCAGGCTACAACCCATCATGATGTTTTATGTTTTTTTTTAATAGTTACTTTGAGTTTTTTGTTTCTCATCTGAGAGTTTATTCCTTACCCCCTCACCTCCACCCTTTCCTGCATGTCATCCCCTCTCTCTTCCCTGGATTTCTACTCTCTCTTCAGTTTTCACATCTACTGCAGGCAAAAATGTTCTACATTTTGTCTTTCATTTTTTGCACAAAGAAAATCAGCTGAAGTAACATTAGCTATCAGAAAATGTCCACCAACTACCTTCAAACGTTGACATGTCATCTTGAGTGTCCCATGTTTCTTAAAGAGACAGTGGGCCAAAGACACACTCTGTTACATTGAGAAAAATCACAGATAACTTAACATTTTGGAAAACACATGTCTTCATTTCCAGAAATCTCTGTTTCTCCCTGTGTGAAAATACTTAAGTCGGGTTTCTGTTCAACCTGTGACTTGATCTGCAGTTCTTTCAAAAGTCTACCTTATGAGGCAGTGATAAAAGCAAAAGTTGTGTTTAAAAATATAGCTGAAGAAGCGTGGATGTATCCTGACTGAAAAGGTCCTGGGACAGTGTGTTCATGGGGGGGTTGGGTTTGTGTGTGTTTAACTGAGCGATGGCACTCGGTCAGCTCCGAGAATCAATGTGTCCCTCATAAACATGTTCAGTCACGTCAACACGGCGGCACAGATGAAATCGGCTCCTATTAGCAGGAAAATATGATTGAATGGATTTTGGTATAATCTGTATGTGTGTGTGTGTGGTGCAGGATTTATCTGCTAATCCCTCACAGCAGACGGTATTACAGTCCTGCAGGATGCATTAGAGGAATGTCACATGTTGAAGAAATGCACGTTTAAAGTGTCACTTTAGTGAGTGCAGGAGAAGACTGCGTGTTTATAGGACTACTACTACTACTTCTTAATTTGCAAGCAGCTGATTTTGCTGGGCGAGAAAATTGAAATAAACGCTCATGTCAATTTTTTGGGAAGTAAAATGTGCAGCAGCAGTAGAGAGTGTTCTGTCTTTGTCCATCAATCAATCATTTGTATAGCACCAATTCATAACGAGTGTTATCTCGAGGATCTTTACAAAACAGCAGGTTAATGACCTCACTCATTGTTAAGAAAAATGGGATATATTTGAGATAGAGATGGGATAAGATGCAGGAAGGATTTCTCCGTTTTATTCCTCACGTTCATGTTGTCCACACTTCCTTGCCGCTGATGTGGAGGTCGGAGCAGGCCGTGCATGAACGAGGACAATGGTTGTTGTGGGGATGACACAGTCCGATGGTGGTGGCTGGGCGTCATCGGGTGGTAGTAGTGCCAGATTACCTCACTGCAGGTTGGGGGAGCTGCATCTACTCGAGAGCCTGGCCTCTGCTGCCTGGACAAGGCCTCCTGGTCGTTTATATCAAAGTGAGTTGTAAGATATGCTGACTTCTTAGTTTGACAGTAATATCTCACAACTGACTGTTTTCTTTTTTTTTTTTTCTTTTTTTTTTTTATGAGCGAGACTTCCGTGAGGATTTATTGGGCTCTTAGTGCTGCCAAAACAGTGGTGACCTACACTTGATGCTGTGCTTGAACTCATCATGTGTGACACAAATTAAGCTACTTTCATGCTGTTCACACTATGAAGGCTGAAGCAAAAATCCAATTATGTTACTGAAAACTGACAGGAACAGGGTTAGAGTTTAAAGACTTTGTTCCTAGGGATGTGTGCACATAGTCATCCACATGATCAAGCGTCATCACATCATCAATGTTTGTGTAAAAGCACTTTGAGAAGTCAGAACAAAAGCGCTATACAAGTTCAAGTCTATCCACCATTTACTTGAAGAAGTTTGCAGCATTACAAGTCTACATCTCTCCTCTGCATGTTCCTTTCACTTTTTCCTTCTGGACTGAAGACTTTTTCTGGATAGTCTTTCTTTGGAAAGTTTCACACTAACTTCCACATTCCTCTCAGCTTCTTAAAGCAGCTTCTTTCCATCTTACACACTTCCTCTCCATTCATAATAGTTGTTGACTCTGTTGTTACATCACTGCATTTTTGTCCTCACCCTTCTCACCCCACCCTCTTCTATAAGCTTCAGTCTTTCTCCTCCTCCTCCTCCTCCTCCTCTTCCTCACAGTCAGCTGGATAAAAGCTGTCACTCTGTTCATCTCACAGCACATTTTGTTAGCAGTGCATTGATACCACTGTGATGTTTCCTCTGGAATATCATGGCAGCCGCAGGGAAATAATGGAGGCTTTGTGTGGAAATGTTCCTGATCCTCTAGCTCCCTCTTGTGGTCAGAAGGCAGAGGTGCACAACTGTAGCTGCTGCTGATACCCAAATGGATTTAATCTGTTGCTGACAAATATGTCCTCATGTTGGTGGATAGAAGGAGTTATTTTACTTGGGTAGAAACAAATGCAATACTCTAAGGTTTTCAAATATACATCATGTGTTTTAACAATCTCAGGGTATTATAACGGTTGATAGTATCAGTAAAGAATCAAGTACACTGCAGTTTAAAAACACAATACAAATCTAAAGTCATATTCAAACCAAAAGCTTCTGCAAACGGAAGAGTGAGACAGCTTTGTCTAAAATGCACAAATAGGCAATCAGCAATGCTTTTGCACTCGTGTGCATTTAAGATAGTGTGCAGGAGTCTGTTTTTTGTCATTAAAAACAAGAAATTCTAATGCAGCAATGTCGCCTGTGTGTCTACCTTTTACACTTACACACACACTCTGCATGCATAGTGGTTAGCAGCCATGCACTTTAGTGGTATCAGTCAGATTTGATTGACTATAGTCATGGAAAACAAGGAAACTGCTGGTTTTGGTTTGCGTCAAACAACAGGGTGATGACAGCATGACATTCTTCAGATCCTGTGACGTGTTCTTTTGTACATGCACTCGTCACAATTGCATTGGTAGAGCAATATATATCATTCAGCCCATGCAGAAACTACAACACAATGGTGCACACCACTCACCTGCATGTCTGCATGTTTGAGTCATGTGTCAATGTGAACAACCCTGATTCAATGCTATTCTTATTAGAGGTGGGGGAAGAAATAGATACAGCATAGTATTGTGATACTTTATGTGGAGATATTATATCATATCATGGCCGCCAAGTATCGACAATTTATTTTATTAATAGCAAATATGCTTCTTTAGTTTTTTAATTGCTAAAGGAGTAGCACAATTAATTTTGAGGAAGTTGCATTGTTAAAAATTAATGCAATTGTTCAGTCGTCCTTACATGTTTGTTTCCAGTTAAATTGGATTAGACTGAAATACCATCAGTTCAGATTGTGAGGTGCATGAGGCCTTTTAAAGGGTTTGACTTTAATCACTGTGTTGGTCAGTCTGTGCGCTTGACTCCCCGGTGTAGAATTAAAAAGACTGAAGTGAGATGAGGAGACTGAGGATGTTTTCTTATTTGACAAAACCAGTTCTTAATTTAGTTGAATTTTGTGGACATTGGGTGTTGAGTAAACCTTCATCCTGTTATGTGCTGCTTTGAGATGGTAAAACTGATACAATGACATCACCTCTATTATGTGTGTTACCTTAACACACACAAACCACATCTTTGTGATGCATCAGAGGAAAATGTTGAGCTGTTTTTTTTTTCTTTCAATGCCAGCAGTGTGTTATTTCTGGTAACATGTTGAACTCTGCTTCTGCTTTTCTCTGCTCTGCCTTCCTTTTAACGCTCCTACTTCTTCCTCTCTGCTGCACACGAGCGTTTCAGACAGGAAGACAACGCAACCTGCACTCGTATGTCGAGATACAGACTGAAACAAATGGTTAGAAGAACAGGGGGAGAGAGAGATCGTGAAACAGGGCACAGAAGGTTTTTCAAGTCTGGATGTGGGATTTAGCAGCCAAACAATGACGGGACGATGTGTGAAGGTACGTCGTCGTTCAAACAGAACGCAGCATCACAATAGATGCTGGTTTCTAACCAGCGCGCTAACATGCTTGTTGAGCTACTTCAGGTTGGGATTCATCTGACTAGAAATGTGTCTGTTAACATCCTAGAAACACCTTTTTTCTACTGTCAGATTTTCTGTATTCTGTCGGATTTAGCAGAAAAAAATCATTTGTTACATTTTAAAGTAGAGGAAGATGCAGAAAAAGTCGGGGCAGTCTGGTGTGTGTGTGTGTGTGTGTGTGTGTGTGTGTGTGTGTGTGTGTGTGTGTGTGTTTGAAGAAAGGAGAGGTGTTGGTGTGAGCGCCAAGTCAGATGGTCATGTATCCTGAGGAGTGAAGCCAATATACATGAAAGCTGTTTGTACACATGGCGCCCCTGTGTGCTCCTAGTGGGAGGACTGGAATGGAGACATGTTATGTTAATATATGGAAAATATTCTCATTCAGAAAACTTTAAACTTCACATTTAGACAAAACAGTGAATATGGTTACCGTTCAAACATTAGCTGTAGCTTCAGCTATCAAGCAGGTTGTTCTGTGTTTGGTCTGAAGGCGCCAGCCGTGCCCTTCTGCTTTTAACCATTTACAAGATTCAAGTCATTATTAAGGAGTTTTTATTTTTGATCGTTTAAGTTTAGAATTTTAGTATCAGTGCTCTCTATAACAGTGTCAGAAAAGCCCCTGAATGCACCATCATGTTTACTTCCTGTCCCGATAATTATTGACCTACAAGCCCAGCATGTTGTCAATGACATTAACACACACACACACACACACACACACACACACACACACAGAAGCAGCTGAGATGACACCAACTGCAGCAGCAGCAGCAGTGTGGCTGCTCTGTGGTGGAGGAGGTTGTGGGATTGAGGTGTTGTGGTGGGGGGTTGGGGGGGCGGGGCGGGGCTTCATGGCAGACCCATCTAGCCTGGAGAGCAGAGTTTCCTATTTTTACCCCCACTCAACACCCTCATATCACAACAGCTGTCCCCACAGCTCTTGTCTGTCTCTGTCAGGAATAACCGTCCAATCAGATCGCTCCCCCCTCCTCGGCCCGGTCGGTTCTCTCTCCATTCTGTGCGTCTCGAGCCGCTCGATCAGATCTCCTGCACTTTGGACAGTTTTTTGAACTCATTGCTGACTCGAGTGGATTCAGGAGTTGTGGAATTACTTCACTGACAGGTAGAATCATTTGTGGATACTTTTTTGGTGAGACGTTAGAAGGAAACTCTGACAAACTTGGGGCCTGGAGGTGCCACAGCCGGTGGGACTATTTTTAGAAGAGAATTAGCTGAGGTTGGCAGCTCGACTCCTTTTTCCTCTGAAAGAAACTTTTTTTTACAAAAACAACTCTTGTTTCATTTTGACGTCTGTGATTTCCTTTCTCTAAGGTCAGTCATTAAGAGGGATCAAATTTAAAGGTGGAAAGATGTGGGACACAAAGAGGTGGTCCACATGTAGGTCTTCTAGGATACATGCTCTTGTGCCGGTGTGTGGACTGCTGGGAAATGTAGTCAGGACTTTAGATATAAAGCACTAGTTTTAAAATCATACTTAACATTTTGTCATTGAAGGTATCGGATAATGTCGTATAAAAAATAATTGTCGTATTCGTTCATATCATGTTTGGACTGTGAGAACATTCAAGGCAGAATGATAGTTCATTGTTTTTGGACTACAGGTCTGAGTATATCCTGATGATTCAATCTTATAGTCACCATTTTACTAAATTCTGTTTTTGCATTATGATCTGATCTGATCTCCCATATCCTCTCATATCTTCAGCTGTTACTTTATGTATTGATGATGTTTGTCATAGTTCACACAGAGTACTTTCTCTAGAAGTCCAAGGAGGCTTGATTGAAATTCAGATCAAGCCTGATTTATGTGCTCGTATATTTTAATGAAATCGAATCAGAGACAAACTTTCTATCAAATCCAAAAGGTTAGTTTTAATTTTTTAACCTGAGACCAAGAGGCTGTTGGAGCTGCCTTTAGATAATCTCAGTTCAGTAATTCTTAAACTGAGAAACTGAAGAATCTGTTAGATAAATATGATAACTCTCTGATTAACAGATCAGCTGAGTGCTTGTTGCTTATGTTTGTTGGAGTTGTAAATCAGCAGTTATAAGACCAGAAGGAATCTTGTTATTTTTCCAGCAAATCCCAGGTCTCTGTGGGTCGCTTTGCTTGTGTTTTGACTTGCTGTGTTTTGTTGTAGAGCATCACGCTGCTGTTTTCTCTATATTTGGGCTATGAGTGTCACAATACCAGATTTTTAAACTCCAATACCATTCTGGTAAAACTCAAACAATATCGTTGCATGTTTTTAAACCGAAGAAACAAAGATAGAAGTCCTAGGTGCCCAATATTTGGTATTTTTGTTTTTTATTCACCAAAAATTGCAGGCAAACTCCTGCAACCAACGCTTTAGTCCTCATCCTAGAGAAAATGTCACAAACCAGATTTTTTTTAACTTTGACAGGATTCTAGTGAAAGTCAAACTATATTGATACCTGTTTTGATACCACAACAACATGAACAGAAGTCTTTGGCAACTGATATTGGGTATACATTCTTGTTTGTAATGACCAAAAATTGCTGGCAAACTCCCGCACACTGTCTACATCGTCGACAACATTGGCAACATTTCAGTACGGAAAGGTTCCCAAGAATCCAAGTATTGAACATTTCAACAACCTACGTTTTGACTAAGTTTTACATTCAGAATAGGCCTCCTTTTTTATATTAACTCATGACTGTTAGTCTTTCAATTCATCCAATACAAACCAGGTTAGAGTCTGTTCATTGTCAACATTACTAAAGCATAAAGCAGCTGTTTGTTTCTGGTGTGGAGGAATGTGTTAGGGTTTTCTTTTCTGCTTTGTAGACATATGAGCTCTGTTGCCTCTGAACATTGCTCTCAGATTTCCTCAGCCAGCTGTATGATATGCCTTGTGACAAATTACCACTAACTGTTATCAGGTCTCTAACGTACAGCCAGCTGCATGGCAGACTGTTGGGAGAAAATACGTTTTTAATAAGTTCTGATCTATTAAATCAAGTGTTTAAATGCTTTTGATGTAATATTAGGAATCACTTTGGTAATTTGGTGATCTATTTCAACCATAGTTCTTTGGATTTAGTCTGTATATTTCATCAAATTCAGTCTTGTGCTGTGTAAAGGTTGCTTAAAAGAGAACACCTGGGTCATAGGAGGTCATATTAGTCCAGAGTAGAATGAACAGGGACTGTACATGATGGTAAATAATTGTGTTTGAAGGAATATTGCTTTTAAAAGTTAGCAGACCCATACTGCAGTCTGCTGCAAAGATTCTTCTAAGGTTGTAGTCACAGTGAAGTCCAAGGAAACTCGTATGAACTGTAAAAACTGAAGGTTTCCCATGGTAATCTTTAATCCAGGTGAAAATGACATTTATAACATATATGACATATATGATATGATCTTGGCATTTTTGCAGAGACAGTGCACACTTTGAGTATTTGTGACAGAGAAAGCTGGTGGCCTATTTGCGTCTGTTGTCCTTGGGCAGATAGACAAAAAATACATCCATAGAAAAAGAAATGCAAATGGGCAACACTACACTGCACTGGATGTAAAGTGACGCTTTTATTAAATCAGTGATCTCACCTCACATAAAATCTTCCCCTCAGAGTGACTGCACAGAGAATACTGTCACCGTGCTAGAACAGTCGACAGCGTCATGTGGTCATGTCCCTGTTTCTGGCATTTACATGTTGTAAACATTAACATTATATACACAAACATGGTATCTTTAGTTTAACCCTCGGAGATTATTTGAGTTTAAACTGAAGAGGAAAAAAAACACAGAATATTGAACTTCCTTCCTATAAAATAACTTTAAATAAATGTCAGATTGTTAGTTGGTGTCATCTACCATCAAGTCTTCGCTCGGCTTAGTATGAACAAGATCTTTGGGATGTGTGACTTCAGCAGCCGTCGATGCTGGTCCCTCTCTGCCTTCTTGGCCTTTCTCTGTCGGAGTATTTTGGCCCACAGACCTACAGTACCACTGTCTAATCCAAAAATAAGCCCCTTAGTCAGTGTGCTAATTCAGTGACCGCTGATAAAACCCACCAACCTCAAGCCAGACCTGGACACTGTCCGACACCCAGTAAGGGTTTCAGTGGAGGGACATTTGTGCTGTCACTGCTCATTTTATTAAGGCAGGGACCTCCAGTATAAGGAGCTCAGCTTGATTCTGGTTTGTGTAAAGAATATTTATGACTGAAGTTAAAATCTGTAGGCAGGACTAACTTTTCAGAACCATGGCATCCCTGTTCATTGTGGTAAATACATTTACCAATCACATCACAGCTACATTAAATTGAAACTTTAATGTGAAAGTGATAGGCTACACAAAAAGAGGGATTTGAGCCATGCCACACTCATAAATGTAAAGGTGCGTTTGAGTTTGTTTTTCCTTCCTAGAATGGGGAAAGAAGCGTTGGTCGTCTTGGATTTGTGTTGGTTAAAAAGCAGCTCAGACACCTCCTGGATAAAACCTCTCATAGTGTCGTAGTTGATGAAATAAAACATTTGTTAAACCAATTAAGAAACTATCTATGGATGCAATACTTTCAGTGATTTGTAACAATGGATGGCTGATAAAGTAACACTTTTTATACCATATGTTAAATTGAAAATGTTGTCCAAACCTAACTATTTGTCAGCATATAGTAACAGACAAAGAGGTGTTGAATTGAGGAACTGCAGTTTTGCATTTCCACATTGTCCAATTTTTTTTTACACCAGAGGTTACCGCTTGATTTCAACCCTGCTCATTGTTTGGATAACGTGACTCCATCTCAGTTGACAATTTAAGAATTGACTAATCACCAGTTTTCTCAAACCTAATTATCGGTCTCTGTGTTCTGCCATTCTTACTCTACCAGCTTCCAAACCTGCTCTTTTAACCTCTTTATTTTCTACT